TGTGTGCCCCTTCTCACCGATCATTGATAAACAACTCGCCTCGACTCTTCTTCCTTCCCTCACTTCGCCTTCCACCTTACACCCTTCACACTGTTGTCTCTCTCACCTACTGGGCCCTGGTACTGCCATCCCTTTTCAACATCTACTCATATCCGCCATCATGATTCCTATTCAGACTCGTCTCCGTGAGATGTCGCTGCCCAAGGCGGTGGCTCCTATCGCCAACACCGATCCAGCACATCCCACCTTTGCCTGGAGTGGCAGCGCCTCTTCTTCCATGTCCAGTCCCTTCGCCCCTCCACCAACTCCCATCGACTCGCTCCTCGATATCAACCCACGCAAGTCGTCTTTCTCCAGTGAGCTGGGAGCCGCATATGCATTCCCCTCCTGGCCCAACCGTCCATCTCTGTCCAGCAACGACTCCACCGATTCCTGTGCCAGCGCCTTTCTCTCTGACGACGACCTCCTGTGGATGCCAGAGAACTCGGCCGCTGAGCGAGTCGTGGACGAGGCCCTCAACCAAGACGCCACTACCGTCTGCTCCGTGACCATGGAACAGCAACTCTTGCGCATGCGAGCTATCGCCGAGCAAGAAGACCGCGCCAACTTCCTCGCCAAGGTGGAAGCCCACGCACGAGCCACCCAAGCTCTGCGTTCCGCAAAGCAAAGCATTGTGACAGAGCGTGAGGCATCGAAGCCCAAGAAGCGCCGCGTCGCGCCCGCTCCCAAACGCCGTGCTCAGTCGGCATCCAAGGTGCTCGGTCAATAAGCTCACCGGCAGAGGCCGGTGCAGCGCAGGCGCTCTCCGAAAACCGCCACATTATCTTCACATTCATGTCATTGCCTTGCCTTATCTTTAATTTCACCCCCGCATCTCCCCGACGGTGCAGCCCCACACACGACGGTGCCTAATTTCGATTTATTTTCCCAGCCGTGGTACCCGCGAGATCGCCTCATTCGAAACTGCGAATCACACTCGCAGCCACAATCTCCAAGCACAACATGCCATGGTCGATCAGCCACATGGAAGCTTCACCCCCGGGTGGTATTTTCCCTGAATGCGACCATGCACGGGCCGACCTCGGGATCCATGCCAGGGCCCCCGCGCTTACCTAATATCTCGCTGTCGGCGCTTCTAGAAATGCCTGGGCCACCGTCACCTCCTCCGTCACGTCCGACCCTCTTGTCCTTCACACCGCTGGTTCCTTTGGCTCTCTGACTCATTTCCACTTCCACTTTCACTTTTGTTTTTCTTGTTTTTCCTGTTTTCCCCTGTTCTCTTTTCAGCGAATCCGTTATTCCCCCCACATCCCACGAGGATCATGTTCTTGCATGGAGTTCCAGCGATTCAAGTCCTTTTCGGCCTACCAGGCTTGCATCCATGGCGGTGTTTCTATTTCCTTCTGATTTTTCTCGGCTCTTAATGAATCTGTCTTTCCAGCGCTTTGTTTCAGATACCCCGTCTTGTATACCCCACTATTTTCTTTTTTTTTTCTCGTTATCTTCCACGCTTGATATTTGAAATTTCAACAGCGCTAGTTCTCTGATCCGCTATCGGAATATTGCGCCACGTGCCATATCAAATTTGTCAATAGCCGTTTAGTACACTAGGAAGCCTGAACTAAGCACATTGACCAAATCCTGAAACAAGCCCAACAACCTAAAATAAACCAGACCCATTATCTAACAACACTATGTTGTATACTCCCAACGCCCTCGTACTTTTACCCTAGTCCCCGTCCCTGCCACGTTGATGTAGATGGAGCCTACTGCCCGAAATGCACACACCCTCGAAATAGAATAATCCAACAGCGGAACGCCAGCCTTGCCCGCCTCGTGTCCCCCGCTTGAGTAACTGCCTGACCTTGGCCAACGTAGACCCCGGAACCCTAAACGGTGAGGCTGTAACAGCTTATTGTTGTCTATGTATGACACGAGGGCTGTCGTCGTTGGAATGCAACAGTGAGATCGGGCCGCCTTTAGTAATCCACAATGGGGCGACATGATTGACCTCATCATGGGACTTTGTGTAAATGTACATACAACATACATTAGTGGTTGATAATAAATAGCCCATCGGAGAATATCGTGAAGTTACGGTTGGGGTTGGGGTTGGGGTTGTTGCTAGGCTGTTTTTGGTCGGAGTTAGGGTCTTGCCTGGATTGCCCTCCCGATTTTTTTCTGTTGGCGGGGTTAACTAGTCGGCTGTGGTTGAATAAGGAATGTTAACCCGAAGTTGGTGTTGACTCTTGAGTATGGACGCTAAAATAGCCCTGGTACCTATAGTACATGTTGGATTTTAGCGCTTCACTCCCTGTCTATCACAAGCATACATTCTATAGTATAGTTGGCGTTTCAAAGAGAGCCTCGATCCCCGCAAGTAGCCGCTGAGCTATTACCGTCACTCTTCTTTGTTGCCACCGCTGTTGGTTCCTCTCTTCTGCATTTACGCTATTTGTCGTGGATGTGTTGCACCAACCCAAAGGGCGAAATATCAAGTCTGGGCATCACATTTCATGGATTTAGTCGGGCACATGCTTCAACTACTGTGTTGGTTGTTACCAACTCAAAAGAATCCCGGTTGATTGTGACTGATATCACATTCCAATGAGCGGATCATACGTATGCCTATCGGAGAAGCTTCCGTCGAGGGCAATATCATCTGATAATTATTCAACGTTGATTCTGGTCATAATTCATATCAAAGCGCGCGATACATGCAGGTCAAGGCACTGTGGATACTCATATTTGGCGAAGTAGAGAGCATTCTTCAAAGAGTAGTGGCCGCGTGGTGCAGTGCAGGACTTTAACAATATATCTACTCAAGATGATGTCAGAGACGTTATATGTGAGGTAACACTCGATATCCTGTCGGAAGTTCTTTTTAATTGTCTCTTTTTTATATATTTTTCTTAGAGATGAGCAGTACGTGACTGTGCCGTAAAGACAAAGACTATACAGAGGCGACATGTATAGCTCAAACCGGATATGCAGAAATCCGAGCATCATCAGTGTAACGGCATCATTGATATCATACTAGGGGTAGCTATACAGTTTGTAAGAGCAAACTGCATCGGGAGTGTTACTGGAAATCGTGAACTAGAATCCATTCCGGTCCTCACAGATCCAGGCCCGCATCCACGGTAGTATCAGGGTGTGCCAGATAGTCGAGCCTGATCTATCGAGAAATTAGCGAACCGGGGAGTCAAAGAGAGATTTGGTTACTTTAAGACAAATATACTATCTTGGTCACAACTCTAAAGGGATAGCTTGACACTAAAATTTATCTGCATGGCAGAAGCAAATAAGACCGAACTCTTTTATATGGCCAGAACTGGTAGTATTGAACGGGCCAAATGTATTTATGAACTCTTGCAATAGAGAAACGTTACGTGCTATCAGAGCCCTAGTGACAGCTATAATAATCTCGACTCGCACTCAAAACGACCAAAGTCGCGATGAACCGTCCTATGTAAGAGCACGCCATTGTCGAGGTTGTCGATTGTGGTCGCTTAGAGAGTGGCGAGAGTTAAAGGAAAACATTTATATATCATTGCCATATAGATGAAGTCTTAGCCTAGAAGCCTTTAGCTATTAGCCTATAATCTTTCCGAGCGATAGACAAAATGGTACTATACCGTAGACTGATTGAACTTGCTAAAGCTGAATGGTAGAATGTGTTCGGGAAGAGAGATCAGGAGAGACAGGCTTGTATATTTCTAATTTCTAAAGGTGCTCTATAGGGTCGTCTATAATACTCTGTTTCCTAAATGTAGTCACAAATGACCAAAATGACTATCAGCCCACCTGATTGATAACCTCACCAACACACCACTTCTCAATCGTGATCTTCACTGCAGCCTGTAGGTTTTGCAATGTCCTTTCCGAATACCAGGCAAGGTGAGGTGTCAACACCAAATTCAAGCCCGCTGCTTCTGGACCTAACAACGGGGAATCACCTCTCCCAGCAGGTTCAGTGGCGAAAACATCTGTAGCCGCACCTGAAATAGCTCTGCACTTGAGAGCTTCAAGCAGGGCTTGCTCGTCGACAATTCCACCTCTTGCGACGTTTACCAACACGGCATGGGGAGACATAATCTGGAACTCCGCAGTAGAGATTATGTTAAGCGTCTCAGCGCTTCGTGGCAAGCACAAAACAACCACAGTCGACTTTTTCAAGCCATCTTGGAACGGGACCCGACCCGGTCGAGGAGAAACACCTTTACGCTCAGCAATAATCACGTTCATCCCGAGACCCTTCGCCATGGCCTCGATTCGTTTGCCCAGCGATCCGTATCCAATGATACACACGGTCTCATCACTACACAGCAACGGGGCCTTTCCATCAGGTGCACGAACCCGACTGAGCAATGTGCCATTGGTCTTCCACTCGGTATCACGCGACAAGTCCACAGGAACTGCAACTGTGGCATTATGGAGCTCCATGAACTTCCGTCGAGTGGCAAAGTAAAGTCCAATAGCGTGCTCACTCACACTGTCAATATTACAGCCGGGACAGTTGCACACAATGATTCCTCGTGCGGACGCAGCTGCTATATCGACGCAGTCTGTGCCGGTCGCCATGATCACTATAAGGCGGAGATTGGGGGTGAATTCCGGGCTGAGGACCTCTGCCGTCAGGCGCGTGGTTGTCGTTATAATGATTGTGGCATCTTTGACGCGACTGGGCAGATCAACGAGATCGGTCCGTCGGTGGACTGCGCGGGAATGCCGCTCTGGTAGATCAAATTCAGGAATTGGGCAATGAACAGCCTCAATAGCGACGATGTGGTGCATGATGTTCTTTGCGGTCATCATTATGAGAAAAAAGAGAAGATGTGGTACTGGCTTTGAAGATTTCTAATGACTTCCCCGCCGTAAATATCTCCAGCGCGATAAGAGTCATACATACACTTCCTTGCACGTGACGTGGCCATTTGATCTTGGAAGGCACGACAGTTCGCCACCGCAACCTGCAATCAACATCATCTCTGTATACAATGGCCGCCTCCTGTTCAGAGACTAGCCCCCTTGGGTTTGCTGAAGAAGTCTTTTCCACGAAGAACTATGATCACTTCGAGGAATGCAACTTACGAAATGAAAATCTGTTCCCTATTGACAAATTCAATATGCTTCGATCACGCACACCCGCAGCGCTTAGGACATACAAGCTCATCGAACCGGCACTTTTGCTTATCTCTCGAATGATTCTTGATCGTCCTTCCACTCTCGCCATATTTGCTCGACGGCGAGATATTGGTGCCCAAGACGTTTTCGTGGATACAGATGCAGAACTTCCCCTACCAAATGAAGAAATTATCAACCTGGTTCGAAAACATATCCCAAATATCGAACTAGATCCGGACATGAGTAAAAACTCCTCATTATATGGAGAAACAACACTCCGCCGTGAATCATCCTCGGATATGGTCACGTTGGATTACAGCCTTGTCCAATTGTTGAAATCACAATCCACGACCCAATCACAGAAAATGGCAGGGCTTCTCTTACTCGCTACAGTACTAGGCCATGAGATGGCTCATATCTTAGAATTCCGCTGCATCCGTGCATGCAAATTCCGCGCTGACGATGAACCTTTTGATACACCACCGGGTATCACATGCCGTGAGGCCGGCACGGCTTGGGAGGTGAGATCCTTTGGTGGTCGAATCTATCCAGTCTGCCAGCCAGACGGCAGTCTGTACAACATTCGAGGCTTATGCCTCAAGAGCGCATCTTGGAATTTTGATGTTATGAAGATGAACGAAGAGTGGATCTTGAAGCTCTTTACCGAGGCCCATTGGAAGCAGGAGCAGCCATTGAAAGTTCCAATTGATGCATTTGCTAGATATGCATTTTTAGAGGATGACCTTTTAGAGGACCAAGTGAACGCCTCAATCAAAAGAAAGACCATGCTGGATGATGTGCGGGCTGAAACGGGCAGCCCAAGAAAGAGAAGGTTCCGTAGGTCGCTTGGTCTTACCAACATCTGCGGGGGCAAGAAAGCCCAGCCCAGGCTAGATTCGTGATTGTGTTGGATGCTATCCCTAACCTGTATTGTTATTGACATTGATTAAATTGTTACGCACAAGAAGAGAATGAAGGGACCAAGCCCGGTCATTAGTCTAGTGGATGCCACTTTGAATCACATTATTATTTTTCAACCATCCCATCCTCAAAGAATATATACATTCGCTTTATCTCCTCGCAACTCTGCTTCTAGACCAACGGGCCGCCGCTGTTGCTCTATACAATTTGGACCGACAGCCGACGAGTTCGAGTTCACTCATATTCTAATTGGGCGTAACGAAATCCAAATTACAGCCCCTTGCCAAACAGTTCTTCTCCTATCTCTTTGAGCAGCGGCTCCTTTTTCACGGCCTCAATCTTCATCTTTCCAATAACCGTGTCCGCCACACCCATAGCGCGACAAATATCAATTAGAGGACCATCCATCGGGGCTTCATAAACAAGAAGCCCAAGAGCAAACAACAACCCATGCAAAGATTCCACGCTCTCGTTCTCGCGTGAAACAGCTTCAAGCAATGACGCGGCCAGTTCGACCTGATCTTCCTCGGACAGAGGATCGGGCTTTCCTTCCAAGCGGGCGTTGTGATTGAATGAGGCGAGATTGTATGCAAAAGAGGCGGCAACAACGCGGAGGCTCGTTTGTGAATCTAGGAGGGAGTTGGTCGCGAGACGGAGACAGGTCTCGCGGAGTGGGGATGAAGGAGAGGTGAGTTGTTCTGGGTATAGAGGGGTGCTGAAGAGATTGCAGGCTAGTTGGAGGGCCACGATGCGGAGATTGTATGGACATGAGGATAGATCCTCTTGAGATAGCGGTGCAAGGAGAGTGAGGAGGGTTGCGTGTTGGGCTTCTTCGGCGAAGTAGCCACTTGCACGTGGGTCAAGCAGAAGAAGGCGAACTAGATCAACCACGGCAAAATGACTGCCACTGGGAAGCGTCGAGTACATGGAGGTCAATGTTGTGGCAAATGTATGCAAATCAGGGACCCTGATATCGGCGACTGGTTCGGTGGTTGAGTGACGCTGCTTCACAAATTCAATAACCTCCGCGACACCGTGGCCTTCCTTGAACACGTCAGGAAGTTTTTGAAGGAGCTTTTCGAGTGGTGGAACCTTCTTATACATGACGAAGGTTGTAATCTCTCGCTGAAGACTGGGAAGTCGCAGTTGGCGATGGGGATGGGCCGGGTATGCCATCTCTAACAACATACGAACGTTTCCCACTAGCTTAGCCGGGGTTGCGCCGCTCCATTGATCCTGCTTTTGGCCCTTCAAAAATGTCATAAAGGTAGGAGTCGATCTCACGCTGTACCTCGTGGCAACATCGCGAGCTGCGCCGACGTCGACTTTGATGAGAGTACCTCGCTCACCCACTTCCGCTGCGAGCTGGTCATATGTTGGGTAAACAGCCTTACAGGGCGGACAAGTTGACGATGTGAAGAAAATAACGGCGCAGGAATGGTAAGCACTGGACAGCTCACTTTGCAGCTGACTGAGATTGCTCACAATGCGGACTGTGCCCGCTCCTGGATGTGCTACCGGCTGAGGTGTAGGAGGGACAGCCCTCGCAGCAGTTGCTTGAGCACTTGGCCCAGGGGCAGGACCTGTCCCGGTGCCTTGAGTGACGCCTTTAAGAGCCGCCTCGATTTGAGGTTTCATCATTTGCCCAAATGGAGTTTCCAGGAAAGTGCGAGGTAGATTGATGATGTGGTCTGGGATACTTTTACCGACAAGGAACATAGCAAGGTCTTGAGTGAAGTTATTGCAGTTATGAAGAAAAAGGTCGTATGACTAGAACTGATTAGCAATAGTTCCATTGCTGAATTGTTAATGAACGAACCTCGGGCGTATAAATGGTCGCCAATGAGCCCAGGTATTCTTCGATAACCTCATTTGGAAGCTCAGTAGTGCCTAGCTTTACGATCTCCATGGGCTGTCCATGATGTGTACTCCCTGGAGTAGCGGTCTGAATACCCTGGCCGAAGTAATATTCGATTCCGTTGAGGACAATTGATGTATGATAAATGGCATCCATTTGTATCCCTGTCAGGGCAAGGGAGTACTGTACAAATTAGAGGTTGCTCGCTTTCAATAACAGCGTTGAACATACCATTCGGGCCATACCCTATGTTCAAGATTAGTTGGTATTTACCACATGTAGAACTAGAAAACTTACCTTTGAAAGGTCGTAGACATATAGTGAGACATCCATGATGAAGTGCGTGTCGAATAGAACCTTTGAAGTGAAAGTCGAGAAAAGGAGCCCTTGAAGTGCGACCTGGACAGGCTCCAATCCGATAACGTCAGCACCGGCACCCCTGGAGGTTGCTATCACCTTCGATCGTGTTCTATAACATTTTCTACGGATGTGATGTTTGATGTTTGATATTCTTACTTTGGCAAAATGGAATGTGGTGTTGTTAATTGACGCGCTCTCATTTCTCACTAGGTATATACTGCCTCCAGGGGTCTCGATAATACGTTGCGCAACTTCAGAATCCAATAAAGGTATGGATATACTAGATCAGGAGAGGAATAAAATGAATTTGAAGCTTTCACATGTTTTAAATGTTTCAATAATCATTTATACGCTTGATCGTGTATAATAAAGCTGTGAAGCTGGCGGCATCGCATACATCATTTTCCAATCGCCGCTCTCCCCACCTTCGTCACCTCCAGGGCCAGATACTCATTCTGTCCATGCCAACACCCTTGTAAAGCCACAAGCACAAGTTCTGTCAGTGATATCCACATGGTAAGACATCCGGGATATCCTCAATACCCAACCAAATCTAACTCCCTCGCAGCCTCCTAAAAAGCGCGGACGCGCATCCAAGCTCGCCAAGGAGAACAACATCACCGGCGAAGAAGAAAACGAAATCAAAGAAGTCTTTCACCTATTCTCCGACAAGAACGCAGACTTCCCAGACGAGAAGGAGGGAGTCATTCCCCGCGAAGATGTGCGCAAGGCACTGGTGTAAGCTCCACTACCTACAACTCGACCCCTTCCTCAAGCTCTTACTCCCCAACTACAATTACCAAATACTAACAACTTTCCCTCCAACAGCGCCCTCGGCCTCCCTCCTACAGACTCAACCGAACTCGCAGAAATCCTCTCCGCCCTCGATCCAACCCTAACCGGATACGTGCCCTACAGCCCCTTCGTCTCAATAGCAGCAGCCAAGCTGCGCTCGCGCGATGATGACGCCATGGCTGCTGAGGTCGACGATGCGTACCAGCTATTCACGCGCGGCACGAATGGCCCCATTACACTGTCGCATCTGCGGCGCATTGCGCGCGACTTGAAGGAGGACAGTGTGGGCGATGACATACTCAAGGATATGATTCTTGAGGGGAATGGGGGTGCTGGGTTGAGTGCCGGTGTTACTTTAGAGCAGTTTCATGATGTCATGACTAGAGCTGGTGTGTTTTAGAAGTGGGGGAATTTGTGTAGAATTTTTGATGGATATAAGGGTTGGATTCGGCGTTTGGCATAGCATATTCTTTTAGCAGGGAGTCTGAGGGTCTAAGACTTTGAAGGGATATCAAGGTTGTTCGAAAATCGATTATCATTTGTAATGTCCCATTGTGAGTGCAAGTACATACTTTCCTCCACCAGCTTCTGCGAAAAACAGGAAAGAATTAAGCCTGCTGGTACTAGCAAAAAAAAAAAAAGAGTAGAGAAACACAGCCAGTGGAAAAAAATAATCAGAGCAGAAGGAGCACAGAAGGAGATATGACCCGCGCATCAACCATAAAGAACTCCCAAGAATTGCGAAACTTGTATCGTGCCAGAGCCGCGATAGAGGAATGAAAGCAAAAGTCGAACCGTTTAGGAGATTTCGTCAGCCATGCCGATGTCCTGGCTGGCGCTGGCCTGGGGGACAGTGCCATTGACAGGAGCAGTGCCTTCAGCAGGGGGCGCATCGTTGGTGAAGTAATCAATCATCTCAGCATCAAGCTCCTCGACAGTCTTGGGCTTTCCGCGGCCGGCGTTGCGGCCACGAGGGCGAGCAGGGCCCTTTCCACGGCGGTTTGTCTTCTCGGTAGGGGTCTTGGTTTCCTTAGCCTTGGGGGCAGCGGCGGACTTGGGCCGAGCCTTCTGACTGTGAATGAATAAGCATATAGATGCGGACAGCTAGAATGAACATCAACTTACGCAATGCGCTCAGTAAGAGGCTTGGAGGCAGGGATAACAGGAACGTGAGAAGCATCATAGACAACTTCGATCTATTATATAGGTCAGTCAATGTTGCAGTGAAGGCTAGCCAGAGAAAAAGGATTTACCTTCATGGGGCGGCCATCGACGAGGAGTCCGTTGAGCTCTTTGGTAGCCTTGGCAGCAGTGTCAGCCCGGTTGAATTGGATGGAAGCGATGCCACGGCTAGTGCCATTCTGGTTGTAGGTGAGCATGACGCGCCGGACGGGGCCAGCAGACTTGTTGAAGTATTCCTATAGCGCAAACGAAGACGATTAGTATTTTCGTCAGACAATTTCAGTGAGCGCGGTTCTCGAGTGGTGGCGGCGCAAACGAGGACGGCCAAAGGTGAGAGAGCATCAGCGAGCACACAGCATCAATCCATCGTCTGTTTCATCCTGGCATTGGACCACGGAGCATCTAGCTCCCTAATTGCAATCCCATGCGATAGGTCGCAAATTTGCTCCCCGCAATGGAACATAACACACCAACAAATATCCATAGTATCAAGTCTCCACTTCATCCATACATCCATCAAGCGGTTCTTCAACAAAAGCATTCTTTCATGTCGCCGACATCATGGCATAGTTTTCCAACTAAAATCCATTTGCCCATGAATGTGTCATCCCAACAAAGTAGTGCCATTTCAGACACAGTTTAAACTTCTCCGAGTCACTGGAATAGGTAATCACCCCATAGCAGCAGAACTCTTCACGGAGAGATTTGAGACAAGAGTCTCGAATAGGTAGGTTTCAGTCTGCCCTCTGAACCTGTTGACCACTGTTCCACCGATGCGCTCGCTGATGCCCGTAGGATTTCAAAGTAGAAGAGATGAAGGAAATGAGCGGAATTGAAGAGAGGTCAGGATGATGAATTTTCATCAATCATCCTCGGCATAGTACTCAGATAACAAGGCAGGTGGATTTCCGCATGGGATCTGACACGAGCAATGTACATCTTTTCACCGTACTACAACACAGTTTGACTTCTTGTCTCGCAGAGCGCCAGCAATGTTTATATATTTGCAGAGACATGGAGAAGGAGCAAACTGTGTTTGCCGTCCATCGAGGAATATCCATCGATGTGGGAGGAGGTAGAGAGAAGTCGTGAGACCGGTCGAAATCGTTTGCGCCGCAAGAGTCTCGAGAAAAGAGATGGCGATGAAAGCCAATATGAGAGCCTTTAGATCAACATACCTTGACATTGGCCTCGGACACATCGGAAGGCTGAGAAGGTTAGCGACAAGCCGAAACATCAATGAGTAAGAACTTACCAATCCGCTGACAAGAATCTTGCTGGATCCAGTCTGGGCGACAGGGGCCGGGTGAGCAGGCTTAGGAGTCGCCTTGGTAGACTTCTTCACACCTCCGACGGTGGGTGCCTTGGTCGCTGCGCGGCGGGAACCACCACGGCGACGAGCAGTGTGGCGAGCGGTCTGGCGACGGCTGCCGACGAGATCGTCAAGGGATTTATCAAGGTTGGCAGACATGGCTGTGATGGGATAGCAAAGCTGGCGATTTGCAAGTTCAGCAAAAGTTACTGAATGAACGTGTCGTGAATGATATGGCGACCTAGGATTTTAAGCCGTTTTAGAAAGAAGTTGAGGGCACGGTGGGGTCACGTGGGTTCTCGGAATAGGATGAAGCAGGTATGTTTATGGAGTTGAAGATGATGAATCGTGAAGGGAGGAAGGGACGAGAGAGTGAGGAGAGGGGGCAAGTTGTAGCCTGATTTTGCACTAAACCCCTTTTGGCGCGGCCCAATGCGAATAACATCAGCCACTTTGATTGGACGAATGCTACGGAGCCCCAATGAGTATGTACTTATCATCTTTGTCCCTTCTTTGGTCTGTTATATGTGAGATCAATATCTCCCAAAACAAGCAGAAATCCATTATGTGCAGGTCCAGCCTTAAGAGATTAGACTATGGAAAAACAACGCACCCAACTCCAAACGCAAGAAGTCATGAAGTAGACGACCGATAACAAAAAGAAAGACCAACGTCCTGAGTTCACAATATATACTAGCTCTTGAGAGCTTCCAACCGGCCTCGCATCTGCGCGAGAGTGGCTTCTTGGTCTTCGAATTCCTCCTCGGCTTGTGGGGATTCCGGCTCCGAGATTTTGGCCACAGGTGTGGTCGTGACGGGCTGCGCCTGGGCGAGTTTGCCCTGCAAAACTTCCTGCAGGATCTTCTCGATCTCTGATTCTGCTTCCCCTTCCTCATCTTCAAAGACAGAAGGGTCCATGGTAGCATCATCAACCATCTCTTCGATAATACCTGCCCTAACTAATTCTGAAGACAGTTGGTGCATGGTCGCAGACAATTGAGGCAGTCGGACCAGGGTGTTCACATCCTTCATGATCCCAGTTGACTTTTGCAGACTGCCCTGGATTTTGCGCGCCGAGAAGGCTTCATTGACCTGCATTCCCACACTCTGCAGTTGGGCTCGGCTGGTATTCAACCGTGTGGTCTGTTTCCGGATGCGCACCAGCTCCCTTGCAAAGACTTTGGTGTCATTGTTGGCTTGCTTGGCCTGGGATGGATTTCGCTGAGCCCGTTTAGAGGCATTGACAATGTACTGGCGAGTCTGGCTGTCGCTGGCTTTTAGCCGGGCTAGATCGCGGTCAAGTTGCCGTGTGTTTGTGCGTATTAAAGCATTGCATTTTCTCATCTAATAGATTATCTTTCATTAGTGTCAAATTTCCAGGCATGAGCCACACTAACTGCCTACCTGGGCTTGCGGGTCGGGCCCAAAGAACACCGCCTTGAGACTCTCCATGAATGCGCTCTTGCGGGAATAGGGATAGAAATCGATGATAAAACAAGCAGGCAAATTAAAGGTGTGAGGGATGTTTAACAAATGAGTTCAGTCTCGGGGTAAGGCTTGATCAGCGATTGACGCTCATGCATCGTAGAGATAGGCGGGGCAAGGCTAATTCGTTGACTATGCTGTCGCAATTTTGACCCCTCAGGATACTGTATGATAGGACTCTTCTCGAAGACCAGGATCGCTAGGTCTTCGGTTCAGTCTTCAGATCAGTACACGCTGATGCGACTGTCAATATTCGAGCCTAGTAAGTAGAATGGTACCTTGGGATGCTACGCTCAGTGGTATCCGACCGGGAGCTGAAGCTGAGTCAGTTCTGACGTAATACAATGTCCCACATAATCCATGCCTGAGGCATGCTTCTACCAGTTTCTACAACATAGCAATAGTAGGTTCGTGAATGAGCTTCTCTTACACTTCTTCTCCTCTCTTTGACCACGTTTTCTATCTTCCTCACTTTCTTCAATTCTTCCAGTTATCTTTCCATTCCTAATTCAATATGTCTCAGACCCTGACTCCCGAAGGTATGTCATGACTGCTCTACTGCTTCCCCGCTCTCGAACGCGGGTCTGCACATTTTGCATAGAAATTACTATGACGTTATCAATGTCTAAGAACTGTTTTGAAACATTCGCTATGCCAATTCTACAATTTCATTTTTAAGTGAGATGGAGGCGCTAACATGCTTTACTTTTCAGTTACATGGGCTCAGCGTTCATCCGACTCGGACCCTGAGCGCAACTACCTTTACGTGAACATCAAGGCTGCCGAGGTTCCCAAGGCTGATGCTACCCTCACCATCACCGAGAAGAATGTTTCTTTCAAGGGCGTCTCCAGAAAGGGCGTAACATACAGCGTCTCCCTGGACCTCTTTGCCGAGATCGACCCCGAGAACAGCAAAGTCAACCACACCGACCGCGATGTCGAGCTCGTTCTCCGGAAGAAGGAGCTCAAGGAAGAGTTCTGGCCCCGCCTTCTCGAGAGCAAGCAGAAGATGCACTTCTTGAAGACCAACTTCGACAAGGTATGCTTGGGCGTTAGTTCTATTTGATTATGGGACATGACTAATTGAATGCAGTGGGTGGATGAGGATGAGCAGGATGAGGCTGGCGAGGATGACTACGCCAACAACTTCGGCGGTTTCGGTGGTGAGGGTGGTGGTGACCCCAGTGCCGGTGCCGGTGGCCTAGGCAACATCGACTTCTCCAAGCTTGGCGGTATGCCCGGCATGGGTGGCATGGGTGGTATGCCCGACCTCAGCGCTCTGGCTGGTGGTATGGGCGGTATGCCTGGCATGGGCGGCTTGTCCGGTGGTGAGGATACCGAGGAACATGATGTAAGACTGCTCGCCTATAAGTGATCTGTGATTGTCTACTAACACAACTCTACAGGATGATCTCCCCGAGCTCGAAGAGGCCGAAGGCCAGAAGTCCACCAAGATCCAGGAGGTTTCTTAAACGTGAAATGTCTACTTTCTGCGAAATCTATGACGATCAGAAACGAAAAATGAGAGTGCGTTAAGACGCCTACGGGATGATAGTTTGAATTATGGATTTGCTTGGGTTTTCGCCGTCTATTGACTGCAGGGCTATTCTGACCAAGCAGCTTTGATCCAAGGCCAACCTTTATACATGGTAGATCTATCTCATTGAAAACATCCCAATGATTGATGAAGCGTGATGAGTGGTCATTACAAGTTTTCACGTAAGTTATATAATCAAGTAATTTTACGTCCACGGTACAATTGTATATTGTAATGATCAACAGGTTGTTAGGCAGTATAGGTTTGGTGGATGATATCTATGGATGTTAGTCTTCAAACGATAGCGACGAAATATTCACATATGAAATGGGCTCTGTTTAGGCATTCTCCAGGATATCTTACACTACAATCGATGCATTTACTTATGTACATCATAGCTTGTTTCATCTCTTCTTTAGGATTTGGTGGGAGGCGAAAGTCATATATACGGCAATAGAGAAGTTCAAGCCGAAAAATTCTCCAGATAGAAATTGCTTCAATGTACCCTTCTTTCCCTGCCGTACTGATATTCGCATACACGAGGGCTATATTGTGGGTGTCGAGGGCAAATCTGAGTGGGTATATGACGCATGTCGTTGTGAAGAACATTCTCAAGACTCGACACCGTACACCTCAATAATAGAATAGTGAGAAGATAGTGAATCTCTAGTTAAACACTCTATATAAGTGTCTTCATAGATAATCCCAGTCCGCTTTTATATTTCGAGTCGCACCGTAGACACGCGGAGTAAAAGGCCCGCACCATCATTGGTTAACCAAAAATTACCGTCACACTCTCACCCCCCTCGTTTTCGAGAACATTTCACTCTGCAACAACCCTGGCATTTCTGCCCGCCACTCGATATCTTTTCTTTCGGAATCTTCCTGTCATTCTTTCAGGTTTCATCAGCGTCTTTTCTTTGCCACCTTGTCACCCATTAAGGCGCACCCTGGACAGGCGCATTTTCACATTTTTACTCTCCCCCAAACCCGCGACGTCACGTCCGCCCAATCGCCGCCATGCCTCCCAAGAAAGTCGATCAGCCTAAGAAGAAGAAGGCCACCGTTGAGGATAAGTCCTTTGGCATGAAGAATGTGCGTCATACCCTTGATTGAAGTCGAAGAGCGGGTTCGCTCGTGATATACCCACATGTCCTAACATTGAATGCAGAAAAAAGGTGGTGCCGCCAAGAAACAGATCCAACAGTTGCAAGCACAAGCCGCAAGCAACAAAAACTTAGACGAGAAGAAGAAGGCCGCCGAAAAAGAGAGGCGTGAGGCCGAGAAGGCCGCCGAGGAGCGGGCCAAGAGAGAGAACCTTGAGCTGTTCAAGCCCGTTCAGGTCCAGAAGGTTGCCTTTGGTGTTGACCCGAAGACCGTTCTCTGTATCTTCTTCAAGCAGGGTCACTGCGAGAAGGGCCGAAAGTGCAAATTCTCACACGACCCCAATGTCGAGCGCAAGGCAGCCAAGAAGGATTTGTACACCGACACTCGTGACGAGAAGGCCGACGAGGAAGAGAAAAAGCAAAAGGATACTATGGATGACTGGGACGAGGAGAAGCTACGTAGTGTCGTTATGAGCAAACACGGCAACCCGCGCACAACCACCGACAAGGTGTGCAAATTCTTCATCGAAGCAGTGGAAAACCAGAAATACGGTTGGTTCTGGACTTGCCCGAACGGAGGAAACAAGTGCATGTACAAGCACAGCTTGCCACCAGGGTATGTCTTTCCGCCGCTTATGTGTGCCTCGTACACAATACTAACAGCGTGAGTAGCTTCATTCTGAAGACCAGGGAGCAGAGAGCCGCCGAGAAGGCCCTCAGGGACAAATCGCCTTTGCACACTCTCACCCTAGAGGACTGGCTGGATTCCGAGCGTCACAAGCTGACGGGCACGCTGACACCCGTCAACGAGGAGACCTTTGCCAAGTGGAAGAAGGAGCGTATGGACAAGAAGCTCGCCGAGGCACAAGCACAGCAGGCCAAGGAGGCTACTGGTCGTACGCTCTTCGAGAGTGGCAACTGGGCCGACGAGGATAGTGAGCCCGAAGAGGGCGAGGACGAGGATGGAACCTGGAACTTGTCAGTCATGCGACGAGAGACCGAGAGGCTGCGTGAACAGAAGGAAGAGGAACGTCTTCTTAAGCTCAGTGGCGGGGTTCTACCTACAAGTATACCCACAACTATACCCGAAGATGTCACACCTGAAGCTGTGGGTTGAGTCCCTCCACATCCTCACGATACTAGATTCGTGGGCTCTTGAGGATCCTTCTCCCCCGGCCACATGCAACCGTAAAGTTTGTTTCGTGTTGCTATGGGGTCGGATCTCGATGTCGAGTGATCGCTACAATCGCTTGCCCAAACTGCTGGCTTTGTATGCAACCTCGGCCATCACTGAGGGCTCGGCTAGTCGCCTGTTCCTTCCAACCTCTATACGTATGTACTACAAATGTCATGCGTAGAGGAAAAGGTCTAGGCTGGCTAGCCACGGGGGCACAAAGGCTTGATGGGTCTTGTGTCCCATGTGACGGAAGAATCAACGGCCGATATACCTTTGATAGCACATTGTTATTTTGTTGGTAGCAAAAAGTTCGTCCATTCAAATGAACATGATGCCTTTTATTTTTCTATGTATCAGATTGCACAGCATGGTAAGATCTATCAATCCAAGAGATATGTACAACATGCTCTCTATAAACAACGCATGCGCTCGTTGAATGTCAACAAATAGTTTTACAGCGAGGCTTTTGCCTGCAGTAGCCTCTTCTCGAGCATCACGGCTACAATGTCCTCCGCAATACCACGGGACAGCTCAAACCCGCGACCACCAGCACCATACCCATGAACGACATATCGATCATCAGCGAGCTTCTCCGCCTCGATGCGCAGACCGCCTTCACGAGCCGGCCGCCGACCGACAATATCGCGAATCACATCGAATTGGCTGCCGCTCTCGGGTGTGAAAGGGAACCACTTGCTTGCGTTGGCGAGGAGTCGTTGTCTGGTTTCCAGTGATGGGTTCGGGTCCCAGTTATTCGGCTCCTTCGTGCCTCCGATGATGGTTCCGCCTTCGAGGGGGCGCGGGATACAGAAGGACCACGAGCCATCCGTATTCTGTCGAGTAATGGTCTTAGAGACAGGGTTACGGACCAGACAGGTTTGACCTAGAGAACATGTCAATCCACGGATTCAGAACGTACACGCTCAAGCGCATTCCAAACACAACCAACGCCATCGCCATCACCATCACTCCCATAGACACATACCTCTGATAATAAACGACTTCGGGTCCTCGAACCCAGTTCCCGAGCAGTTCACCACGGTCTTCACATTCCCCGCCATGCTAAACGCCTCCTTCAAATTGGCGAGCGTATACCGCCTCGTCTCGCCCCCCTTGAGAATGAACTTGCGCAGCAAATGTGCACAGTAGACAGGCGAGTTGAT